GTACATGTTGCATAAACCCAACCATTGTGGTGTCTTTATTTAATAAAACATAACTGAAGAAAATATTGCATAGTGCAGAATATGAATCAGGCCACCTTTCTATGTTTCTTTTTCCCATCTGTGTCTAACATTCTTGTTTTTTTTTTTAACTGCTTCTTTATTTTCCTTACATAGAAAATCAGTTAAAGAGGGAAAAATGGACTTTTTGACTGGCAGTAGTAGGAGTAGGTATGAGCAGATCCATTTAAATTCATTTGAAGATTTGCATGTATAATTCCCCAGTGCTAGAAAATATGTATTGTCACTGTCACTTTTTCCTCATGTATATGCTGTTTTGTATGCAACCTGTCTTACAATACAGAATTTTGCCAAATGTATTTTAAAAAATGCAATTATCTCTAATACATATGTTTATATACAGAATTGTCAAGCATACGCTTCTTTTTGAATACATCTTCACCAAATATGCACTTCTTTGTGAGAATACTTCAATGGACAATGATGGATATTCATAGACAGTTCACGGCTGTCTGACCAAACCAAATCCATTTTGCTATATTTCTCACTAAATCTGGTTAATTTCTTTTATATCCCTAGCCAAGACTTCTCCATCTTGAAGCAGTTTTGATCCAAAGATCTACTGAACTTTGCATGCTTTTATTCCTGAGTAAATATATATAATATTGGGCTATTTTTTAAAAAAAATCCATATATATTAAAACGTTTGCAAATTAGTATGCAAAATTTTATTCCTTGTTTTAAGCTAATGTGCCCTTGTCTAAAGCACAGAGGTAAAAAAACACTGAAGAACACTAGAAATCCTTAGACTTAAAGGAACTTAAAATTGTAATCTTATATATAGTGGTCTAGGAGTAAACTGAATTAATCCCCAAAGGACTTCTGAATAAACACATTTGGCATTTTATCAAAAACAAGGCCAAGTCTTTGCCCCTGCAGGATTTATATAGATGAAACACTTAGCACACCCCATTTCTGACAACTTTAAGTTAAAATAAGTTCTACACATTGACTAAACATTTTGGTAGGAAAGCAAATAACAAGCAACAGAAAAGAAGTAGTGCTGTAAATAAGGTAAGTTTATACTGGCCTTAATGATCTTACATAAAGTTACTAGATCTGGGTTGCAAAAACACCCAGAAAACTCTAACCAGATGGCAGCCAAGAATTAGAGAATTCCTGGATTCTGCTGCCATCCAATGATAATTCAGATTTTGTAACCCAGCCCAAGGGCTCGTACTCATGTCCCATGTATTGTGGCACCAACCACCTTTAAGGAATATGTCTTGATGGCTTCATGTCTGTCTCATCCCCAGCTCACTGCAGAGGCATTCTGAAGTTGACTTTACTTCTGCTGTTAAAGTGGTCTGTTTCCTCTTCTCCTGGTAAGACCAAAGATGCAGGTCACAGGCAGGCACCTCCTCAGCTGTTATTAGATGTCTAAGCTTGCTGCAGGCATATCCCCTCATGTTCAAGTCACTGGAATTGCCCTAAATGGTGATTTTGGTTTGTTTTGGGAGTGAGTCTGGACACCTGGTTTGTGCAGCCTTTTATTTTTGATATGGAATCTCAATCTCCCAGAAGACTGGTGCTGTCCAAATAAATGAAGTAAAGAAACTGATACACCCTTGCAGAAACAACAACAAAGGATTGTGCTGATGGGTCAGTGGTAGGCTGGGAGAGGTTCTGAGTGAAGTAGGGAGATCTATTCATCTTCCTGACAGCTTCAGCCTGATTGAGAGGTTGACCTCCCTTCCCTTCCCTTCCCTTCCCTTCCCTTCCCTTCCCTTCCCTTCCCTTCCCTTCCTGCCTCCTGAAAGACAAACATTTCTATTTTTTGGGATACCATTCTCTTGTCCTTTGATGGGGACTGCTATTTTGGTCTATTTTGATTTGAGCTGCAAAAAAGACTGGACACCTGTTTATGCAGAGTAGATCTTTTTTAGGGGGGGGTGGGGGAGAGAGAGAGAAAGAGAGAGAGAGAGATCCATAGGACTATTGATCTCTTAGAAGATCAATTGTCTTATGGTGCTTGACAAAAATAAATAAAAACAAACCTCTATCTGGGGTATACGAGGGGAAAGGGATAAGCAGAAGGGAGTCTGGTTAATCTGCATGTAAATTCTTTCCTGACCCTAAGGCTGTTTTTTTCCTGCTAGTTCGTTTTTGGATTTTTTTTTTTTTTTTTACACAGGAGATTGATATTTCAGAGCAAAATACAAAACAAGCAAAAAGCCCTCTTTGGTGAAATGCCTGGTACAGCATTAGGAGAGAAATAGAATAAAAGTGGAATGGAGCACTTGGAGGCCCCCAACCCTGCCCCATCGCCTCTTATGGAGAGAGCAAGCGGTTGCTTTTACACTGCTGAATGATGCTGGGTCGGAGGGGAAAGGGAGCCAGAGAATCTACAATTGCTGCCTTGAAACAGCCTCTCATTGAATGGGTAAGGACAGCCCCACGGTTCAGTCTTGTTGCTGAGGCCTAGTAATGCTCAGCCATTGAACTATCGCTAACCATGTTGACATACTTCTCTGCTGACTCAAGAATGGGAGGAAAGTATGTGAATGCAGCAGTGAGGAAGCACTCCTAGTTTTAGAGAGCTTCTCCTCTTCCTTTTTATATGAATAAGTATCATTGCAGTTACTTCAAAATTAGTTAAGCTGATTCTGCCACATTTAGCTTCTGCCCTGCCCTGCCTGTACCAGTAGAAGTATATCTGGTTATATCCTTTAGGGAAGGAGCTCATGACAGTGGAAGAGCACATATTTTGCATACATAGGACCTCAAGTTCATCATCTAAAATGGCAGGTGGATCCGGAAAAGATTCTTGTCTAAAACCTCAGACACCTACTGCTGCTCTATGTAAACTAGAGGTAGGCAACTGTTTTACTATTAAGATTTTTAGGAGTAATCTCTATGACAGCCAGTTTGATGTACTGGTTAAGGCATCAGTCTAGAAACTGGGATACCATGAGTTGTAGTCCCTTCTTACACACCACAGCTGAGTGACCATGGGCCAGTCACTCTCTCTCAGCCCTAGGAAGGAGGCAATGGCAAACCGCTTCTGAAATCTTGGCAAGAAAACTGCAAGGAGTTTCCAGTTTATAAGAGATATTATATTCCAATATGTTGAGGGTGGGTGGGACCAAAGGGTCTAGCAGACAATGGTAGGGTCAGAAGTAAGAGAGGCAACTTGTTTTCTCCATTTTTCAGTCCCAACCAACTGACTTGCCCAGAAAACTGTCAGAGGAGGGAGATCAGTCTGGTTAGAGGTCAGAACTAGAGCTCACAGCAGACTTCTGAGATCAAGCTGCTGGTGATAGGCTCCCCAAACCTGATGTAGATAACATTGAAATAGATGAACTAATGTTCTGACTCAGGATAAGATGACTTCTATATTCCTGAAAGAGGAATTATACTTTCATCTGTTATGGATGTTATCTTAGATAATATGATGCTAACTTATTTGTGTTATGAGTATCTTATCTGATGTGTTTAGTGAAGTACTTCAGTGGTTCTCTACAGATGTTACGTGTACTTCAGATGGGGCTCAGAAATAATCTAAATAGGATAAGTTTGAATTTTTAACTAAGTTTTTTAAAATTACCGTAAGTGATAAATAGAATAATAACAACATCCCTTTAACAATGTAAAAATGTATTTCTTTTTTGTTATAGTCATGGTGAGATCCAGGCTCGTTGATGGAGCAATTTGTGGGAATTAAGATAGAAAGGGCTTACCAAGATCATCTGAAGAAAACACTTCTTGAGGGATATCTTGAGAACTTATTAGGTTTTCCTCAATGAAATACCAATAAAGGTGAACAGATTTCACTGAAAGAGAGCTTGTTTTCTCCTACAGCAAAGTTGGTAAATGACTGTCAAGAAGTTGATGGCTTACAGCTCCCAGCATTCTTCCTCATTCACCATGCTGGCTGGGGCTCTAGACAGTTAGGGCCAACAATTTCCTGAGGACTACAAGTTTCTCAGAATGTACTTCACCACAGGGAAATACTGAGATTGCCACCCACAGACTTTCTATTTTACATGAGAAAATTATGAGATACAGCAAATTAAACCATGCTGGAATATGCTATTGAACCTTCTTTAAAGTACCAGAACTCCATAGCAGGTGAACAGCTAGTACGAAGGGCATTTTATGAAGTTAGAACATATTGTGAACTACTGTTTTACCCTGACAAAACAAACAAACAAACAAAAAGAATTGGAGAAAGGAGTGAAGCAAACTTGAATTTGATTAACTTTCCCCTCTTTCATACATATATATAAAAAGGCATGATTGCCAACCTTTTTTCTTAATGGAATTCCTTGTGGCACCAAAGAAGTATAAGAAAAAGATGAACAACAACTGTGTTGTCACATCTTCTTTAATGTTGCATGCATCTAGCCATGGATATGCAACCTAGATCCTAACCCTAACTTGCCCTTTGTGGGTGTGATCAGAAAAAAAATGGCCAAGATCTATTTACCCCAGCATTAAATTAGTTTTGGAGGTTGTATCTTAGATGCAGCAAAAACTTGCCACTATCAAAAGGTATTAAATAAGTTAGGCACCAAGAAGGCAGCAATGTTAGATATGTGAACTAGGAAGCTTGGATCAATAAATGCACCGGGACTTACTTTCTGGGCTATATATCCTCCCAGTTGTCTACATATCTATCTGGAAGTAAGTTTCAGTGGGTTCAGTATAATTTATTTCCAAGTAAATGCTCATAAAATTACAGCTTGGCTAACTTTTCAAGGTTGTGCCCGTTAGTATGTATTCCCCAGCTCCTGGTTTCTCATGATGGCTGTTCTGAGACATCGAAGCAGTACCATTTAAGAGGACAAATTCTGCTCAGCGTTGAGTGCTTATTCCAGAATGCTTATGAATAGACCTGCCGCATGTTAGCCTATGATGCAAAATTTATTTTCAACATCTAGACTGCACTGGCAATATTACTTTGCTCTGCCTTTGGCATTGGTGTTTCCTTTTTATTCGTCATGGAGAAAAGTCTTATACCTAGTGCTTAGAATCCTTCATTGAAGCAGTGTTGGCCAGACATATATTTGCAGTAGAATACAGAGAGCAATAATGTTACATTCAATCACAGCATCTAGTATTAGGAAAATTGATCTTTTCCATGTGTTGGCTAAGAAGCACCACTCAACCGCATGTTCCTGGGTCTTCCATTCTTGGAATATAGCCTGCTTGTTTCACATCCCTTGCATTCTAGTAAGATGTCATTAGAATTGTGCACCTGCAAGCAATCAGTGGACAGGGAAATAATAAAATGATGTTTTTCAGTTTCTCAAGCTCAAAGAAATATTTATAGTTGCTTGGTAGTCTCCTTTGGCTTCTAAGCAACTTGTATTGGGATTAATACAGTTCCACACAAAACCCAGCGCAAAGTAAAAAAGATTTCCAATGGTTTATTGTAATGCACATTTTTTGCTGGCTATAGTTTTAAATCCCTTAGAAAATTAAAATAACTTCCCTTCCATTTCCCTGAGAAGTGAGAGGAAAGACCAAAGGATACAATTGTAAGTGAATAATTTAAAGGGAAGGACATCTGTACAAAAGTATATTCCAAATACATTCTAAAGTATTTCTCTTTAAGGGATAGAATTTTGAAAAGCAAAAGTCCCAGAAAATCCATACTTCTTATGCTTTTCCATTCGCCATCCCTGTCATGTGGTTCTCTTCTTTTCCTTCCTCCATCTTAAACCCTCCATTTGTTGTCGCATATGTTGACTCAGACCTCAATTCAGCTCCATTTTCTTTCTTTATCCAATCGTTCTTTCGATCAGCAAAATGCCTTTTGTATACCAGGTAGCCTAAGGACAGAGGCATGACATGTAAAGGGCTGAAACCGAAGTAACAACCAGTCACAAAATCATATTTGCTTTGGAACCTTGACAATATTCAATCGTTACATAAAAACACCGTCCTGATGTCTCAAAGAAAAGCCTCACTCAACGTCTGAGTATAGGTTTGCACTCTTGATTACTATTTGTGGCCAAGAGCAAAAGAGGAATCTGACAGGGCTTCAGAAAAGAGAAACCATTATTTGGAAATGCTATTGAGGTGCCCGCATTGTATGGTCAAGAGGGGGGCCACGACAGAGCAAACAAATCTCTGCCTGGTTTTTTTTATGTGCAATGCCCTTAAAAAACAGCAGAACTTTCATCACAATATCACGGCTGCAATCTTGACTTTTTTGACTATATATCTTGTGGTTACCCTGGAATGCTATTCTTCCTTTGCTTTGGGTTTCCTTATACTGCATTTTTAACCACTAGCTTGCATGTGGTACTTGGAAATGCCATTGTGTCTCTCCCACATATTCTGTGGTACTTGTCAGGTTCCCTACACTGTGCCTCACCAAATTTTATTTTTGTAGCTTCCCTTAATTTGAAAAGAACGAGAAGCTTGCATCCTGCAAAGCAAAGCACCATCCTCAAGCATAATTAGTATTTCCAGAGAGGCCTCTCAGCCCCACACAGAGACTTCATTTAGGACAGTGTTTCTCAACCTCAGCAACTTTAAGATGCGTGGACTTCAACCCCCAGAATTGCCCAGCCAGCATGCTGGCTGGGCAATTCTGGGGGTTGAAGTCCACGCATCTTAAAGTTGCTGAGGTTGAGAACACACTGATTTATAACTTAACATTGAGTGTGGTTGCAGCCATTGTTTTGTTCAGCTTCTGGTAAATGGAAGTTTTGTGGCTGGCCATGTGCCTCAAGGCAACAATTTTGTGAGAGTGCTCACAAATGTCGAGGTGTGTGCACTAGTCCAAAATATTTGGAGATATCAGCTTGAGCTGTAACATTATGCTTTGCCAGGTCAAAGTTTGTGTCACATACGTAGACGTATGGCTCCTAATTCTGTTTTTTTGGCTGGTGGCAAATTCAGAATCATATAAACATGACACTATCCTAACTATACCTACCATTCTCATGAACGAACAAATAAATAAAAAAATAAGACAAAATGATTTTCTTCTGTAATCTGTAGTAGGAAGATTTTCAGATGTATTCCTACTTTTGTGGTTAATATTGAACAAGCCAGAGAATGTATTTGATTGATCACTTTCACCACCGTCTTTTAAAATCATTATCTTAAAAGTTGTGCATTTTATTTACTTTGGGAGATACTGACAGGAAATAGAATCATCAGTGCTGCATGAATAAATAATAGTCTCTGAAATGATTTCCTGATTTAACCAAAAGAGAGAGAGAGAGAGAGAGAGAGATACGAATGAGTCATAGGCAAAGTGGCTTACCTCCCAAAATTATTGCTGCAAAAACAATCTGGAAAATGGCATAGATGAGTGGGAAAGTAAACATCAGTGACAGTTGTTCCTGACTGAAGGAGAGTTGCACAATAGTGGTACACAGCTGAGTGTTCTGCAGTCCCGTTTCTAGAGCAACCGTACGACATCTAAAAGAAGTAACATTTTTAAAAATGTAAATCTCATTATCACACGCCTGCTTCTTCACCGGCAGCATTCTTATTGTTTCATCTACAGATTGGCTAACATTACAAGATGACTTGTTATAAATATTTTTTAGAAATTCCTGGCCCATAGGCTCACTATCTAAAAGGGACTGGCGCAGAGGGGAAATCGGATGGAAGGGCAACAGTTCAATTTGTGACATTTCTCTCCTAATTAAACCAAGACCAGGACAGAAATGGTTTGGAAGGCAGGCAGTAAAACATAGGGTTCAGGGTGAGATGTATATATAGGTCTGTATTTCAGTATCGGATGTGTCTACTAAGCTTTTCCCCAAACTAAACAAATGAATGAAATGTCCTTGGACAATCACTGTGTGATTTTCCCCATGACATTTGAATCTTCAAGCTACTGGTGATATCCCTAAGTTGATTTCCTTGTACATGATGCCAAATAGATGGATGAGACTGGTTGCAAAATATAACTGCAGTGGGAACCCCTGAGATACCACTATGTTATGGGCCCTTTAACAAGAAGAGTCAAGTGAGTCTGATTTTAAGAAGCCAGGATCTAGCTTAGAGATCTCAACAGAACCAATTCCTCTGGCACTGACTTTGCAGTTCTAAATGTTGATCCTGAAGCAGTGACACAACCTCCAAGTCTATGAAAGCATTACTTTGTGATGTAAGAGCCAAAGGATGGAGAGAGAAATAACCACCGGATTGCTTCAGAAAGAGTCTTAGCAGTAATGGTCTGCTTGGGAATAATGACCTATACCTGAGTAGTTTGACTTCTGCAATCAGTTCTCATTAGTCTGGTTGGAGGCCAGAAGCTTCCAAGGAGAAAGCTCTGACTGAGAGCAGCCAACGGCTGGAACAATTTCTGTGACAGCTTGATTTCTGTTACAAAGCAAAGCCTTGCTCATTTCTAAGGACAAAAATCCTGCCTTTTATCAGGATCTGATGATATTTTGCTGATCAGATCTCTGAACTTGCTACTGGCATTGAACCTCATTGACTAAAAGTCTGGTCTGGAGCATAACTATGTTACTGTCTAGCGTAAATGCTTTGAGCTTGAACTGATTATCCATCTTGCCCTACTGTGTGATTCCTGGGTCAGGGTATAGATAGTATATACCTATGTCTGTCTATATTTTGATAATGCCCACTTTGGGCTTCAGGCCAACTCATAGCCAGTATGTAGCTCCTAACTGCTTTCCCCAAGAGAATACAGGTCTCAGTAAGAAACCCTCCTGAAATTGGGAAACCCATCTCTGGCATACTCCTTTTGAGTTGCATCAGGCTTCTAAAATATCAGGAAAGGATATGGATGTTCTGAGGGAGCTCCCTTCCCTAAGTAGATCTAAGGTTCCATCAGGAAAATTACATGGATCTATTGAACTACACAAGGATTAATGATAAATATGGTAAATACAGTGAAGTAGATTAGCTCCTACCTCTCTTTCTTGCTTACTGATAATTCTGAATTTATGATGCATCAAGAGTTTCAGTACAAGTTCATTTAAATTAGCTTTTGGATCTGAGATGGGGTTGGAGAAGACTGAATAATTGAGTTTTGTGAATCAAGCAGAGTTTTTATGAGAATTATTATGATGTCTGTGTAAGGGGAGGATGGTTACATATGTTCTTAAGATTTTTTCAAACCAGAAGATTTCAGAAATATGGTTATCTCAGCTTGGGAACATCAGTTTTTTAAAGGGAACTAGAGAATGACTAGGGGTTATAAACAGAAGAGGATAAAACCAACATATAACTCTATGGTTAATTAAAATCCATTTAAAAAAATTAAAAAATGGAGACAGGGCTGTATGGTTTATGTTAGACAGGATGACAGAGTATTAGTTGTGGAACAAACTTTACCTGTTCCAGGACTGGCCAGCTATACGAGCCAAAAAAAATCCTAAGGAATAACCAGCAGCTGGGAAGATAGTTCCCACAATCCAGAGCTGAGGAGTAATTGTCCAGGAACTTTGGTATAATATTCCTCCAACCACAGCTGTGACCACTATGAGAATAGCACCACTAACGGAACCAACCTGAGGAGCAGGGAGAGAATGCATGTCGTTTAATTTAACTGTGTAACCAGCACAAATTATAGCCTTGAAATCATCCATCATGTATGGTGGAATCAGGACCAATCCTATTATGAGGCAGACTCAGGCAGTCCAAGATAGGAAATATGTGGGGCAATATTATTAACAATAATTGATCAGTTTATTAAAATTATGACTATATTTTCTGTAACATAGTAATGCTTTCTGTACCATATATCAAAATTACTTGGACTACCTCTAGGTAGCAGAGGAAGTAAGTAACTTTCCAATTCCCACTTTGGGGATTGGATGGTCTCTGATAATCCAGAGACTTAAAGGGAGTAGATGACAAACAGATCTTTTAAATCAGTGTTTCTCAACCTCAGCAACTTTAAGATGTATGGACCTCAACTCCCATAGCTGGCTGGGGAATTCTGGGAGTTGAAGTCCATACATCTTAAAGTTGCTGAGGTTAAGAAACACTGCTTTAAATAATTAAGTAGAATTATTTTGTTTATTTCTCCAGCATTCAAGTTTGGCTGAAGAAGCAAAAGAGATTGTTCCAGTATATGTTTGTTTGTTAGATTTATATGGCCGTCCATCTTGCTCCAGCAACTCTAGGCACCCAACAACATATAAAAAACATAGAGCAGACATCAAAACAACATTAAAAAATGTATGAAGGCAGGCAAGGTAAAACCCCCAATCTACAATAAATTCAATCCACAACCACGTGGGCTCCAGCTAAGTACCTGATTCCCAAGCCCCCCAATTATATCTTGAGTATTCTTTGAATAAGCATTCATAACTGTTTAGCCTTACCTTAAGTATAATTTTAGCTAGTTTGGGCCATCGATGCTTAAAAAATATCCCAAAGGAAACAGGAATGACAAGTGCAACCAATGAAATTCCTGGGGAAAAAAACAAACAAACCCAAGTTAAATTGGGGAAAAGGCACCTAGGTTAAGAGAAATGAACTCTTTTTAAAATGTTCTTTTATGTATGTGAAAAGAAAAAGAGGAAAGGGAAATTTTTTTTTAAAGCTCTCATGTACTAATCAAAAATAGTGTTATGTATGCCACGTTATACAAGTCACTATACTTAACGAAACAGGAATATAAACTAGTAAACATATAACATATAAACTAGTAAATGAAATTTAAATTTCTAAATGGTTTCCCATATCAGAACTCACAGCAGTAAAATGCACGTTCAAATATAGAAAAAAAGATACATTCTTCAGACTATTGTATAATGGAAACGTAGTACTGTTTCAAGTTTGCAGTGTCAATTATTTTTTCAAACATAAAAGGGTGCAATATTCTTGACTATTGTCCTGCACAAATTTCCAAACTATTGGTATATTATTCAAGAACCAATGAATCTTCCAGAACAAAATTAATATGAAAAAAACCTCCTGTCCAAAAGGGAGCCGTTATATAGTACAAGGTTACATTTTTAAGCACCATTTCTCCATCAAGTACCTGAATCCATCAATTTCTTCTTGAAAAGACATGTAGGTATCCAATAAGCACAATATAATAATTTGTGTTAAATTAACTGTGATTTGCAGGAAGATGACAAAATGGTCTTCCATTGACGTTCACAAGCACAACACTCCAATTATTTATCCATCTCTCCTTATATTTCTGAACACCTAACAATGTATTTACAAATAATTATTATAGATTTATCATTTAGTACAAACATTAAATCTTCTAGTACTAGAAGCAGTTAGGGAGGCCAGACCATATCTAGATATATAGTTTTTACTTGAAGATAGTGCCACTCTACATTTTTGTCAAATGATATTTACATTTTGACTCTTAGGATGATATAATTTATTAGCGGGTCTAAGGCTATGTACTCCATGGTCTGGTTAGGTTCTTCATGAAAAGGATTGAACTGGCCAAGCTATCGCATATCATAATTCCTTAACAGCTAATTCTGCAGGAGGAGAAATTCCATATTTTCTAAGTAGATAGGCCAAAATCCTCCAATTATAAGAGGTACCAAATACCCAAATGTCAAGGTGACACTTGCCATTCATTAACCCAAAAAAGAAGATAGGTGATGCAGTGTAAACTTTTATCTGTAAAATTAAACCAACTCCAACTGATAATTGAGTGAAAAACAAGGGGGAGATTTTTCTCCAAATAAACCTCCAAAACAGAGCATTAACTTTCAGAAAATACATTTTAGGTATGCCATATATGGCATACCCTATCTGTGGTATAACTTTCATTTCTAAGGTATTAATTTTCCCCCAAATACTCATCATCTGAGAGATATTTCTAGGTATTTTCAGTCCAAGGTAACTTATTGCCTCTGGGCACCATCAAAAGTTTCCAGAAAAAACTGATTTTGACAACTTAGTAGTCCCTAAAGACATCCATTCATTAATTTTGGTACGGAAGAGTCAGGTTGATCAATAACGACCACACATTGTTTGTAAATAGGACTACTTGATATTCCTTACTTGCATTATCAAGCCATGAATCTCACTACTGTGTCTAACTGAACATGCGAAGACTTCCAAGTACAGATCAATCAATGAAGGGGAGAAGGCAAACCTGCTGTACTTCCTTTTCCAGTAAAAGGGTTCCCAATTTTTATGTGAAAGTAAGATGATTCTGAATTTAAGACTACAGCTCCTTATGCCCACCCAAGGAGTTGTAGACAGAACAAAATTCTAAACACTCTGCAACGCCCATTTTTTCAACCTTGGATTGCCAGCTGAAAGCTCTCTTGAATATTTTTTCCCTCCCAGTAAAATGCATATAGGTGTCCCACTTGTCTACGTTTATGAATGTATATCTCTGCCAGGAGCCATACTCCAAAAAACTGCCACGGCTTAGAAAATAGAAGACAGACAAATAAATACATCATTAATCACTGATTAAAATAAACTATCAGTAAAAAAGAGGTGAGAGCCAGTTTGGTGTAGTGGTTAAGGCACCAGGCTGTGAGGGTGTGAGTTCTAGTCCCACCTTAGGCACGAAGCCAACTGAGTGACCTTGGGCCAGTCACTCTCTCTTAGCCCCAGGAAGGAGGCAATGGCAAACCACTTCTGAACATTTTGCCAAGAAAACTGCAGAGACTTGTTCAGGCAGAGTCACCAGAAGTCAAAACTGACTTGAAGGTACACACACATACACACACACACACACACAAAGACACAAGATATCCCATTTTTTAAAATTAATTAATTGATTTCTCTCCAGTCTTATCAATGTAAGGTGACCCAAGTAATTTAAATGTAATTATCTGAGGGGCAAGGAATCTCATCTTCTTATTGAGCAAATATAATAGATAAAATTCTATTTGTTTTCACATTTGTTTTTGGATAATAATAATAATTTATTTTATTTTATTTTATTAATCAAATTTATATGCCACCCATCTCGCTGTATAAGTGACTCTAGGTGGCTTACAAATAATAATAATAATAATAATAATAATAATAATAATAATAATAATAATAATTCTGTAATCCATTTTGAGAATTCCTGAGGACAGTAAAATTTTGAAATAATAAAATTATATTGCCTATAAGTTGTAAACCTGCTGTTTAACCAATGGAATAATTATAGCAGGATCTACTGCAATGTTACTGAAAACTGCAAGATGTATTAATAATCTCAACTTGTCAGCCGCTATTTATTTTACTTTCGTACATGAAGCTTGATCTGCCTTTGGAGAGATATTGCTGAGATATTGGTTTTGATGACAAATACATTGAGAAAGATGCTTTTGATCAGACTACTTCTGGCCATGCAATAATTAGTTATTCTGTAGCGTGTCTGTTTTTCCCTATGATATTGCAAAACATGAATGTTTTCCTTCCTTGGGTGTTAGCTTAAAGCTTTTTTCATAATGGGGCCCAGTGTGTGTATGTGTGTGTGTGTGTGTATTGGCTTTCATACAAGAAAATAAACAGGTGCCTTCTTGCTCTTCAGGGTAGAGACAGGAACAGCTCCATCATGGTTAAATCTGCATATACATTTAATATAATAATGTATATAATATAAAATAATGTTATAAACTTGAAGGCATTTTAGGACCCTGAAGTAATTAAGGCTGATTAGAATCCTGTAAAAGAATTGAAATTAAAATATATTTTGCTGGGCCTCATTGCCTTTTTGCTTTTAGAATACTCTTGTAACAATGCAATTGTGATGAATCAGGGTCAATGGCTCTTGGTCTTGATGGCAGCGTGACTGCCTCTGAAGGCCATCTGCTGGGAGACTAGTGGGCTTCCTTAGGCAGTTGGCTGGCCACCGTGAGAACAGACTACTAGACTAGATAGACCAGGGGTTGGATCCAGCAGGGCACTGCTTATGTTCTTATGACAACATTGGCAGAATTCCTTTGTTGCAGTCTTTTCCCAACTTTTGGATTAGGGCTCCTATCAGCTCCATATGGCATCACTAATAATCATGGATGATGGAAGTTATAGTTCAAAAACAAGTGGAGGTATTTCCAAGTGCTCATTCTGCATCTTTCCAAATTGCCTATTTTATTCCTTCAAGAAATACAGCATAGACAAGCACTTAGTAGGGTAGCAATGAAGGCCTTGGAAAAAACATTCAGATGCTTTGACATGTCTACACCTACAAAAATCATCAGAATCATGCAGGCAATGGTTTTCTCTGTGACATCCTATGGAAGTAAGTTGAAGAAACAGCATGGAAAGAGTATTGATGCATTTGAACTTTGGTGTTGGGGAAGACTCAAGAATACCATGGGATAGCCAAGAAAATAACAAATCAATGAATCATAGAACAAATCAATTCAGAGTTCTCACTAAAACGATCAAGCTTAAATTAGACAGGGCTGCATGGTTTATGGTAGGTAGGATGACAGAGTATTAATTATGGAACAATGTATGTTGTTGACAGACAGTGCTGTTAATATTGGAGGGGATGAATTGAACTGATATGGATTGGTGCAATTTTATATGAATTTTGCTAAAACCTATGGTTGCAAATAATTGTATTTACTACTACATATTTAATAATTTTATGCAAAAACCCAACTTCCTTGAGAAGTCCATCAAGTTGGGAAAAGTGGAAGGAAAGAGAAAAGGACAATCAGTAGCAAGTCAGATGAACTCAACTACTGTGGTGATGGGTACCCTGTTGGAAGACCTGAAGAGTCAGGTTGGGAATGCATCAACCAGGGTGAGAAGTTCAATCTACATAGTTGCTAAGAGTCAATACCAACCTGATGGCACATAATCAATCAATCAATCAATCAATCAATCAATCATTTTTATTCCTTGATCCTTTGGGTTTCATGCAAATTGATTGGGAGATGGAAAACAGTTTGAGCTTCAAATGTTTTGAGCTTGGAATGACTATTCAGAGGGTCCTCAGCTTGAAACAAAACAACCTAGAATTTGTCCTGGATTTGTGTTCCATGCTCGAGATAAAATAATTTCTTTAATTCCATGTTGTTCTGAACATTCTGAGGATGCTTATTTCTTTTCCTCCAAGTTCTGAGAATTAGAGTGTATTAGGCAGTAAAAAAGTAGGCATAAATTCCATCTCTTCTGCCATTAGCTATAGCTAGTTGAAAGGAAAAGGTGAATGGGGTTGAGAGAGGGTAATTATAAGCACATGTTCAGAGCCTGAGAACCATTTTTGAACTGCTGGTTTGTGGAAACAGTCAGAAGTTGACCGCTGCTTGATTCATGCCTAAGTAGTGCTGTTTTTCATTCTTTGCTATTGAAAGTTTATGGGTTGTAAAATAACGCTGTTATCTTTGTTTTATCCTTTCTTTCTTAGGCAGGTTCTGAGTTCTGCGCCCAGGCATCACAGATAGATTTACTATGCTGCTGAGCTTTGAGGGCACCAAATGAGAAATCTATTTTGCTTCGTTTGTTTATTGAGACTTGTAGTAGATCGCTACAAGTGATCTTAATTGATCACTTATCTTAATAAATAGAAAATGTATTAAATCGCTTATCTTAATAAATAGAAAAAATGCACTGTGAATGTGCATTAGGAATGATGTCTGATGGTATTAGCCATACAAGTATATTTTTGTTGTTATGTCATTCATGAACTATGTTGAAATTAATCTATTGTTGCTTCCTTGCTGGATAGCTGCTTCTTTGCTGGGCTTTATAGCTTTTTGCAGGGCAGGTTGCAAAAAGTGGGCTTAATTGATTCTAACATTATTTGCTATGGAGATGTTTTAAATATCATCCTCTTGAACAATTTTTATGGAGATTAGGTGTAGGCAGCACTTAGTGTGGACTACTTATATGGACCTAATGAAAACTGAAGGAATAAAGGACTTGTTTCAAGTTTCTGTTGCTCACTAGGGGGGATTATTCAAAAATATTTGGGGTTTTGTACCATCAAAACATAATACCCTTGAAAACCCATGGGTTGTTTTGTACTAGGTTTATAGCAAAACATTCTAAAAAAAGGCTACACACACCTCAATTTTTTCATTGTTTCTTCTTTACCTCACTTCCATAGCTTGATCTCAATTGTTTTCTTAGCTTCTAGCTTTTCAGCGCACTACCTACTTTTCATCCATCTTTGTTCTACCTTTCTCTTGGCCAGTCTTCTTAACATTCCTGTCTCACAAAGCCATGTTATATAGCCCATCCTTATCTGCTGGAATTTGTATGAACTGCTTTGTTCTCAGCCTTTTCTATTTATTTCTCTGTTTTCCTTGGCTTTTATTAGGACTGCACGTTGACTCCAAGAATTAGTTTATGCCCAAATTAGTGATTCAGAAACAGCACTTAATTAAATTTAAACAGTATCAGAGGCTGTTTGATTTGGGTTATGGCCTGAATCCAAAGTGAGATTTGAGAAATGAAGTTTTGTGTCTCTTGTGGACATACATGGAAAATTCACAAATGCTGTAACTTTTATTTTCAGCAGGAGGCATAAATCCTGCCCACTTTCCAAAAAAAGAGGAATATGAATTTTAGATCAAGGTTGTGATTTAACCCTATAATTGGGGTTATTCTGCCATTTAGGCAGAATTAGCTGACAACTGCAGACAAAAAGATAAAACTCTATCCATCTCCAAAACTAGAGTAAATGGAGAGTCTGCCAGTCAGTGTCAGAAATTTTATATCATATCCACAGTGCAATATTGCTTAGTGTATTGTCGAAGGCTTTCATGGCCGGCATACGATGGCTGGTGTGGGTCTTCCGGGCTGTGTGGCCGTGGTCTTGAAGTTTTGTTTCCTAACGTTTCGCCAGCATCTGTGACCGGCATCTTCAGAGTGGGCACAGAGAGAACTGCTCCTGTCTGTGCTCCT